GCTCAGTAGGCTATGTATTTAATTGTAGATAAGAAAAATAGTATGTTTTCATTGTAGACAATGCATCGAAATATAAAGAAAACAGCCGCCACCCATAAATCTACCTTCCCAATGTAATCACTAACCACTACGGTGTATTTTCTGCCTTTGCAGATAGTGTTGCATGATGTATTTCTTTGTTAGGATGCTTTTCAAAGATTCAAGAATTAAAAGGTTAAATGTAATGAATACCCATATAACTTCTCTCTAGAGTCACTAATTATTTGTACTCTGCCATCTTTGCTGTATCTGTGTGTATGGGGGGTGTAGATTTTCCTACCAATGCCTTATGCTTTTCTGTGTTCTTATATTTCGCCTGCTTTGGATTCTCCTTGGTACTACTTCTAATTACAAAATCCAGGGAGTCTATGAGCAGGAGTCCATATGTACGTATTTTTTGCTTATATATTTGATTTTTTTATTCTTTTATTTATTTTTTGACAGGCAGAGTTAGACAGTGTGAGAGAGAAAGAGAGAGAGAGAGAGACAGAGAGAGAGGTCTTCCTTCCATTGGTTCACCCCCAAAATGGCCACTACGGCCGGCACGCTGCACTGATCCGAAGCCAGGAGCCAGGTGCTTCCTCCTGGTCTCCCATGTGGGTGCAGTTGTAAGTTGTAAGAAAGTAAGTTGTATTTATTATAACATTTTAGCCCTAAATATTTTTCTATGACTTTCCTAAAAACCAGGGCATTCTCCCACATAACCACAATGCCATAATCACAATAAAATATTAGTGATTATACCCAAATATCACTTAATATCCACTTCATACTCAAGTATTCTTATCTGTCCCCATGATGACTTTTCACTGTTCCCCCTCCCCAAATCAATCCAAGCATTGCGTTCAGTTATGCCCCTCTTAGTCTAGAACAAGCATCCCACCAATTTCAAGTTACTCTAAATATACTTTGTAATGATGCATACATTCCAGGGGAGGCACAGTCATAGCAGTCTCGGCTTAGACAAACACACGGTTTCCTCTGTTTTTCTACAAAACCAGGCTAAGATGAGACCTTAGTGCGTTAGCTTCTTTCACCTTTCCTGGGCCCTTCTGCTTCTTTACGAGAAGAAAAACAGTGAAACCCTTCCTTCATTTTAGCAGACAACGTTCCAGAAAGGTTTGACCCACTGCTGCCTCCCAGAGCACCCGAGCAGGCCCGGGGAAGGGGAAGCTGGGGCTCAGGCCGCCCTCCTCATCCAGGCTCCCTTCCCACAGGACATTTCCCGGCCCACCTGTGCGAGTTTCCCGGCTGCTTCCCTGTGCTTACTTCCTCAACTGGCTCCGCTCACTGAGGAACAAGGAATCTCTCACTGAAGAGGCTACAGTTTTCTTCTCAAATGGTGAAACTCAATGGAACTGTGTGCTTTCTGTATTATACAATTTCATAAAATCATAGCATAAAACGTCTGGCTCTTTCAATCCTTGCCAACACAATTCACATTATAATTCAATACTATCCTACGTACAGTAAATATTGTCATTAGTTTAAAACTGATGAGAATCTATCCCTCAGGGAACTCTTCTTATTTTAAAATAAAATAACCCAAACAGCCAATATTTGGTGGGTGGCTAAGTAAGTGTGGCAAACATCTATGATAGTTCAAGCTGTAGACATTAAAAACAGGTTCTTAAAGAGTTTTAATAACATGGGAAATACTTGTTAAATAAAGTGGGTGAAAATAATTGCTAGAAATTCAGAATGCTAAATATAGCACACACACACACACACACACACACAACTAGAAAGATTTAGTTAAAGCTGCACTATGGGTGGCCAAAATTGCTTTTCTTAAGTATTTTTTTTCCTTCTGATCAAAACACAACAATGAAAAATGGAGCTTTGGAAAAATAGTATTCAAACATCCATGGCCCCTGCTTTACCAAACTACAAAAGAGCAAAATTTTAACACCAGACAATGTCTAACTTTTCAATATGATTTTGTAGCATGAATTTGTGCTACTTTAATATAGAAAGACTCTGGCAAAAATCAGCCCACGAACCAACCAACCAACAGATAAATCTTTCATAATTCCCCACTTCCTTCTGAAGATGTTCAGGCATATCCTATTACCACAGCATTTATAATTATTCCATTTTTTCTGTACAGGCCCCTTGACAAAACTTATCAACACTTCTATTTAATCTGATGACATGCGTGCCAGTTGCCAAGCACGTAACAAACACCAGGTTATTCCACTGTCTTCATTCCGAGCAGAAATTGAAGCATACTTGCAAAGTATTGCCTGAACCCAGCGGCATACTCAGCACCGCACGGAGCAGCGGGCACTGTGGACCTGTGCCCCGAGCTGCAGACCCTCACAGCTAATGACCTGCGATCTACAGACTCATCTTTCCTCGAACCGCATGACTAACCTCCTGGACCCAAAGCCGAAGGAATTTATGGTTTTTCCAAGGAACATGATATTTGCTCTGACAGTTTTACATAGCTTCATCCTGAAGGCAGACAAAGAGCTGAGGTTTCGTCTTCGTTCGCCTTTCCTGGGATCAGGCCCTCTGATGGAAGGGGATCACTGGGAATCCATCCCTGGGCCTGGAGGTGTCAGAGGCAGAAACCAGACACACGAGAGTCCTGCTCGTGGGCCTCTGGGAAAATTTCTAACCGGCACTGCCCTCATCTGCCAGTCTCGGTTCCCCGTCTGTCTCCGAGGTTAGCACAATGCTGACGCCCCAGCATGGCCTGTAGCTAGCAGGGCTGGAGGCGTGGTCAACAGCCAGCGAGTGCCTCCTGCCCTGAGCCTTGGCAGGTCTCTGGATGCCCACCACTGCTCCTGCCTATCACCTGCACCCCTACCACTTCAATTTTATTTATTTGAGAGGCAGAGAGGGAGAGGCAGAGGGACAGACAGACAGGGAGCTCCTCTCTGCTGATACACCCCCCAAATGACCCCAACTGTTGGGGCTGGGCCAGGGTGGGAGCCTAAGCTGCCAATTAGTCGATACATCACGGCTGCCTCCCCAGTTCTGCCCTGGCAAGAGTTGGAATCAGGAGCTGGAGCTGAGAATAGAAGCCAGGCATTCCAATGCGGGATGTAGGCATCTTAATGGCTAGGCTAAATGCCCCTGCCATTCTAAAGTTACCGTCTCACATTCCATTCTTCTCCTCCATCCTGCAAGGGGATCTTCGCTTCTCTGACAGCTCCAATATCATCACTCCTTTTGAGCAGAGTTTTTATAAGCAATAGATAACACTAGACCCGGTGCATCTTAACCAGTTTCTACAAAGTGAAAGACAGACAGGAAACGTTATAAAAATCGGTGTTGTGAAATGGAACCAGACACAGTAAGTAGTAACCAGTAGGCACATTTAGTGGCCTAAAGGCTTGGTATCCCAAAGGACTGCTTTTTAAAAAGATTTTTGGAGACACAAACAGACAGAAGGAGAGTTCCCATGTGCTGATTCACCCCCCAAATGCTGCAAACACCCCTGTCTTCGAGAACTCAATCCAAGTCTCCCACAGGCCGCAGGAACTGAGTCTCTTGAAGTACTGCTGCCTTCCAGGGTCTGCAATAGCAGGGGGCTGGAGTCAGTACAGCTGGATACTGAGCCCAGGCGTTCCAATACAGGGCATAAACATCTTAACCAGTATTCTAATTGCTAGGCCAAACACTTGTCCCAAAATGGATTTCCCGAGGAATTGTTCATGGATTTTTTTTTGAGACAGAGATGTAGCCTTTTATAATGAGGTGGTAGCCATGCAGCAAAATGAGAAGAGGCATCTAGCTGTGGCCCCTAAGAACCTTCTAGAGCAGAGATACGATTTCTAGGATATCTATGAGTATGATGCAATCGGCTGTGGCTAGTGCGGCTAAGTGTCGGAGCTTCTCCATCAAGGCGCACCTGGCATGTTCGGAGACCCAGAAGAGGTTCAGAGAGGCTGGAAGGTGTGTGCGCAGGGGAGGCAGGGCGGTGGGGGATGGCTGGAACAGGAAGGGCTGTTGTGAAAGGAAGAAGAAAGAGGCAAGCAGGGAAGGTTCACAAAGGGCCTTCCAGGGCCTGTTGAAGAGCTGGAAGTCGATCACGTGTTTAAGCAGAATTGCTGCGTTAACTGGATTCATGCTCTAGGAAAACTTCTCGCTGAAGCACAGAGAATGGGTTGAAGGGGGCAGAGTGGAGGCACAAAGGCCAGCTGCAGTGTTCAAGAACAGCATCTCAGGGGCCCAGATGAGGGTAAGGACCAGGAGGCTGAGAGGCATGTGTGGACTTGGGAGGCAGTTTAGGGAACCAGTAAGGGAGAGAAGAGCCCAGGAGGACTGTCAGGTTCTGGTCAAGGTATCCCCACAAGGGCAGCCCTGAGTCAACATGGGAACCCTGGAGGAGCGGCACTTTAGGGATGGGGATCGCCTACTTGGTCAGGAAGTGCTGAGTTCCAAACACCTTTGGAAAATCTCCACAAGGGTTTTACCAGGCAGCTGGCTACCTCGCTCTGAAGGTCTGCCTTCTGTGCGTGGGGGCAGGAGCTGCCAGCACACACACTGTGAGTGATGCTGGAGGTGTCCACTGAGCAGAGACCCAAGGACACACCCGTGTATGTGACTTTTCTGTTAGTGTCAACTCATCCCACAGTCCCGCCCCAGGAGCACATTCTAGAAGAAGGCAGCATGTCACACTGGGGTTTGGGGGGGGGGGATTCCCAGGGTGGGGGGGAATAATCCTGAGGGTGATCTTCATTCCTGAGCACTTTAGCACCCACCAGGCCATGTGCTGTTATATACCCTTGCGCTATTGGATTTCACCTAATTCTGATAATCCTAGGTAACTATTATACTCCCCACCTTGGCAGCAAAAAGAGCTGGAACCTGGAGAGGCTCTGTAAATACATGGTAGCGGTAGGCATAGCATTCAGCTGTTAAGAACTTGAAGTGTGCAGTGGAAGAACTTCATCATTAATTTCATTTTAATTCAATTTTATTTCATTTTGAATAATGTTAATGCAAGTTCAGATTCAGTTTTTGGGAACCGTTTCAGTATGTATGGATTCACAAGAGAATGTGAATACGTTTTTGAAATCAGAATAAGTATTTCCAGTGAAAAATTAGCATTGGAATTGAGATGTGCCATATGTGTAAAATACATACCGGATTTTGACGACAGTGTGGAAAAAAAGAATATAAAACATCTTGTTAGTAACGTTTTATATTGATTACGTGTTGAAATAATACGCTGGCCAGATCAGGTTAAATAAAACATTATTAAATTAATCTCACCTGTTTTACAAGCTTTTTTTTTTTTCTTATATGGCTACTGGAAAACTTTAAATTCGCTACGCTGCTGGCTGCAGGTGTGTACCCCAGGCTGGGCGGCCGCCGGAGCAGCCCCTGGACAGGCCTTGGCATGGCAGGGCGGGGGAGGCGCGTCCTTGGGAGAGCGCGCGCACGCGCGCGTTCGTGCCGCTCGGCCGCTGCGGGATCGAGGCTCCCCAGGTGCCCACAACCAGCGGGCTTTCCTGTTTGCCTTTTTGAACTCTGTTTTCTCTGAGCCTTGGAGAGCCAGGGGCTGTGATGTCACTGTATAAACAGAGGGAAGGGCGGGGGCGAAAGTTGCCCTGGAGCGAGGCCGGCGGAGGAGGAGGGCTGGCGGGAGGATGGGGGTGGGGAGGGAGTTTTTTTTTTTAAAGGTGGCTGGGGCTACAGGGCGTGGGGGTAGCCTCCGATAAGGAAGGAGAACGGGACCGCCCGACCCTACGGTGGGGGCGGGGCGGGGGCCGGGGCTGCCAGGGCAGGGGCCTTGCAAAAACTATGGGACGCCCAGAGCTAATTCCCCTGATTAAAAATGCATTAGTTTGGAGGTGTCAGGGACACGCAGCTGTTTTCAAGGAAAGCCTGGCTCCACGCGGTCCTCCGCGGCCCGGCCGCCCGGCGGCTCCATCCCGGGCCGGACGTCAGCGAGCGCGCAGCCCGCCGACGCTTGTCCTCGCCGTGACAGGGCCCTGGCCAATGTCCTGCTGCTGCGGGTCGTGGTAATTTACATCCTCTCTGTGTACATTAACTTATCTGCAGCCGCGCTGGCTGCGCCCCTTCAGTCAGCCTGTCTCCGGCGCGGCCTGGGAGACTTCCCCGGCCCCGCGACCCAGCGAGCGCCCGGGGGCGCCGGGGGAGCGCGCCCGCCGCGCCCCGCAGCCCTGGGAACCGCAGCAGACGCCCGGTTCGGCCCCGGCCCGGGCGGTGCGCGCCGCGGGGCCTGGCGCTGGGGGCCCAGGCGGGGGCCGCTCGGGCTGCAAGCGAAAGAAACACTTAGTGGCTAATTCATGACTCATGACTCATGGGCAGGCTCCTCTTCAGTGACAGCCGGGACAGTTCCTGGTTATTTGTAGCCCCCCGGCTTCCATTTCGCTGTAATTAAGCAGTCATTGGAGGGTCATTTCGTAGCGGTTATAGGTTTCCCTGTTTTAATCATGCTTGAAGTTCCAGGGGGGCAACAGGGAGTGGAAGGGGAGGCTGGGAAGGAGGCGTGGAGGGCAAGAGGGTAATGGTCTCTGAGAAGGCGTGCACTTTGCATAAGTCTTTCGGTGACAGGCCCGGGTGTGCAGGCTGCAGACGCCGACCTGCCGGCCGGGCGCGCGCGCGGGCCGGGTCCTCTTCCGTGACACCAGCGGTCTTCCCCGAGAAGGGCTCTGGCCGCTGTGCAGTCAGATGTTGGATTTTCTTCCTTCCCCCTCTGGCACCACACTAATCATTCTCTTTAATCACTGTAGCTTTTTAATGAGGCCAAGTAGGTATTTATGGAGCCGTCTGTTCTCTAAACGCTAATGCTTGATAAGTCATTTATAACTTATGGGGGGGGGGGAGGCTGCTTTGCAAGGACCAAACCCAGAAGAAAGGAAGTGAGAATAAAGCCGAGACGAGTTCGCTTGGAAAAATCCACCGTATCGCCAACTCCTAGACGGTCCCAAGCCCTCGTGGGAAATGTTCAATCCATCAGGCGTAAGAACAAGGAACAAGCAGAGTCTGTCCCAACTTTCGTGAAAATTTTCTGGCTGTCATTCTTGATTTTTTTCATTCCCTCTACTTTGTTTTTTTCCTTCGGCTGGTTCATGTCTTCTTTAGATAGCATTTGAAGCTTCCACTCCAAGGCCAGTTCTACAAAGTTCTTTAAAGAACATTTGGAGAGCACACGGGTGCAAAATACAAAGTCTGGGAAGCCATAAAAGACAGCAACACGAGATGCTGTCACTGCTAAGGGGAGGTGCCCCAGGAAGCAGCTGCTGAAGATGTGCTTAGAGCTGCAGTGTGGGGCAGCCTTGCCTGCAAGAGGGCAAAGGAGAGAGAAAACCTGTGCAGGGACGAGCAGGAGAGAGCAAGGACGGGATCCAGGCACACACCGCGGACCAGAGCGAATGGACGCATCAGCCAGCACGGGATGTTTAACGTGCGGGAAAGAGACTGAGAACTTCGCCACCAACAAAGGCAGGGAAGTGCTGATACATGCTGCAACCCGGAGAACTTGAAAACGGGAAGCCAGTTACAAAAGACCACGTATTATATGATTCCATCCACGGGGAATGGCCACAGAGGCAAGTCTGTGGAGAAAAGAAGTAGATTAGTGGTTCCCTTGTACTGCCGGTGGAGCAGGGGGTTGGGAGAGGAGGGAGTGACTGCTAGAATTGATGACGGCAATGGTTCTACAACTCTGAATATATAAAGCCTATACCCATGGACTTAGCCACTTTAAATGGGTGAATCATAGGGTGTGTGAATTACATCTCAATGAAGCGGTTACCAAAAAAGGTTTTCATAAAGTTAAATAGACACAGACCCCTGTAAAGAGCTATTAAAAAAATTCTCTTGCTGCGTATGCTGCTTCCTTCTCCATCACAGTGTAAGCCAGCAGGTGATGTCCCTGAGGATGGCTGAGACAGGGCCTCTGCCTGGTTCTCTGTTTGGCCCACAACATGATGCACATGGAAAGAACTCAACATGAAATTTGCAGAGAGGAGCATGCAAATAGCCAGACTGGCGTCGTTCCCACGTGCACCACACTCAGCCTACCTTCTCTGCGCTGTATCTTCTGGCTTTCCACAGTACCTGTTGTTTAGGTTTTTATTAGCATTACTCATATAGCCAGTCACAGAAACTAATAACACAATTTTGATAATTTTGTGCCATGCACTGTGCATATATTTACCTCTAATCCTTATAAAACCCAGCAATGTAAACCAACTGAACCCAGGTCTGTCTGGCTCCCAAGGCTTCAATCTGTTATAAACATTGCCTGCTAAGAATACTAAGCATGAAGGCAAAGAAGCGCATTGACACACATGCATAGCAAATCAGCCCAACTCATGTACAGAAGGGACCAAAGTACCCTCTGGTACCAAAGTCTGGTTTCTGTGTTGAAATTGAAAGAAGTGTCCAGAAACATCATAAACACCTTACTCAAATTACTATGAATTTTCTTTAAAATGATAGTTTTATAATAACCTTGGATTATATATCCAACAACTATGAAAGGCTTACCTTGTACATAGCACTAAGTCAATCCCTGGGAAGGGTGCCCGAAACAATTCACGTGGGAGCTTATGCTTGCATCTGCCATGAATACCACTGTGCCTTGTTTAAAAGAACAAATGAGTACCTAATAGGTTTGTCTAAGTAGTACACAGAAGGTCTGGATAAACATGAGCTGAAAAGTTCTGGTTTCCCAAGACTTTTTCCTAAAAGTAGAAACATTTTTATGAAATATTAAGGAAAAGACCCAGCCCATGTGTAAAGGGCTGCCTAAGTGGCCCCGCAAAAGCAGCTGGGGAGGAACACAAAGGCGAGGACGTCCAAACGATCTGAACACCACTGTGGTGTGTGCTTGGCCTTCAGCATGCTTCCTGGTGTTCGTTCAATGGTTAATGTTTCCACGATTCCAGATGCACAGCCCAACAAGACTCCCAGTTCTCAACTCATCTCATGAATGTTTGTTAGTTTATTAATCTTCTATCTGTACTAATTATCACAAACACAAAGCCCTCCAATTAAATGTTCTATTTTCTCCAATTTTGCTTAAGAATTTTGTCTCTAGGTTTACAATAGCCCACTTTTTATAGTTGGAAAAACCAAGTCCTTCCTGAAGCTATTTATTCAAACTGCTCTTAAAGATTCATGACAACATCAAGAAAAAAAAATCTCAGCAAAGTTCTTCCTCCAACTGTTAGATGCACCTTTTCCCTCTCCTTCCCCAAACTGGTGAGAGGTGTTTGTACCTTCTGCTAAACAAACAAATAAAAAATCTATCTATCTATCTATCCAATCTATGTCATTTATATATATAAATTGCTCTGTGCTAAGTCTGGAAAGGAGGTACAATTCAACTCCTAAGTGTGGAAAAACAATCCATAGTTCTCCCTCTCTTTTTCATACGGGAGATTCCAGAAGTAAAGTGCCAAACACTTAGGCTGATGGGCTTCAAGAAATTTACTCGGGACTTTGGAATGTGCCTAGGTACCACTGTGTCTAGGGAACACACATCCATCCCTAAGCATATGTGGTTGTCACCCTCTAGTGGATGATCTATGATAATAGCTGGCAGCTTCCTGTGGGGCACAAGAGCCAATGTCATCCAAGAATGACCTATCTTGAAGAGGTAGATGACAGATAAGACTGCACAGAACTCTTGGGTCCTGAACGTGTACTTCCTAGGAAAATATGTGTTCGTGGGCTGTTTGCTCAGACTGCAGCTCTCTGCTGCTTTTGAGTCTATGTTTGTGTTTCCTACTAGTGTTGGAGATTTTCAAGAACAATGCGTATTTCCTTGAGGGAGACTTCTCCTAAGTTGAGACTTTTTCCTAGGTAATTTATTCCCAGAGATTGTTTGCATCCAGATTGGGCTAGAATGCTTTCTTTATCTGCAGACCTACTGAGTACTTTCCCAAATTGAATGACTTAAGCTGGCTAGGGAAGTTGTGGAACAATAAATACTGTCTCGGTAGTCACCGTTGTGTAAGAAGCCTAAATATAGATACTTGGAGACTCTGTGATAGAATTTTAGAGGTAAAAATGGAAATCCTTAAGGCTTCAAGTCTCAACACCAAGCACTAGATCGGAAATGATGACATCCTAAAAATGATATCTGTCATGGAATTCATTAGTATTAGAAGAAACAAACTAGAGTGACATGATTTTCCTCTCCCCGTTCTGTTAAGTCACTGAAGAACTGCACTTTTCAAACCGACTGGTACTGAACTGCTGCCTCACAGAGTTTCCAGGAGGGAAGGGTGGTAGCACAGGAAATGCCCCATATTCTCAGAAGCCTACATTGTGGGTGCTTGCATTTGCTCTGGGAGAACTTAGTGAAAGAATCCATTTCTTTGGAAGACGCATATGATTTCTTGAAGATCTGTTTATAGATGGAGGAGTTGTTTATAGGTAGAGGAGTTGAATGTTTGCAGTCAGGGATGACCTTGGTTCTAAAGCTGAGGTTGAAGGGGAATTAGAGCCTGGAGAAATGAAATGCCCCTCATTCACTTATTCTTGGTAGCTGAAGAAGCTGAGGCAAGGCAAGGTTAGGCAGAGTTCGCATAGCGCGGGAGCCACACGGCTTGCATCACACAGGAGCCCAGCTCTCTGCAGCTCTCCTGGGCCCTGCTCTTCAGTCTGCATCACCGTTGTCTCCTGGTTGGAATTTTCTTAGTAATGATGATGAGGAAATCAGGTTTCCAGCCCTATTCATAGCAGCATGTACTCCATTTGGCTAAAAAGAAAAGTTTTCTTGTAATAAAATACGTAATAGAAAACATATTTTAACCATTTTACACGTACAGTTCTGTGGTATTAAATACATTCACACTGCTATGCAACCATCGCTCAGCCCTTGGCAACCACCCTTGCACCGTCTGTCTCGATTCATTTGCCTGCTCTAGGAACCTCACATAACTGGAACCATACAGTATTTGATCTTTTGCTTATGACTTACTTCTCTTAGCATCATGTCCTCAAGGTTCATCCATGTTGTAGCTTGTGTCAGAATTTCCTTCACTTTAAAGGCTGAACAATATTCCATTGTGTGTATGCATACACACATTACATACTGTTTTTTTCCATTCATCCATTGACGAACCTTTGGGAAAATATTTTTAAAATTCATAACAAAAACAATACAAACATTTAAGATATAAAAGTACTTCTGTAAGAGGCTTGTTGTCATTTTTTTTTTTTTTTTTTTTTTTTTTTTTGACAGGCAGAGTGGACAGTGAGAGAGAGAGACAGAGAGAGAAAGGTCTTCCTTTGCCGTTGGTTCACCCTCCAATGGCCGCCGCTGCAGCCGGCGCACCGCGCTGATCCTGGCAGGAGCCAGGAGCCAGGTGCTTTTCCTGGTCTCCCATGGGGTGCAGGGCCCAAGCACCTGGGCCATCCTCCACTGCACTCCCTGGCCATAGCAGAGAGCTGGCCTGGAAGAGGGGCAACCGGGACAGAATCCGGCGCCCCAACCGGGACTAGAACCCGGTGTGCCGGCGCCGCAAGGTGGAGGATTAGCCTATTGAGCCACGGCGCCGGCTTTTGTTGTCATTTTTTAAAAAAAAAAAAAAGACTACAGGAATTGCTAAAGGATCATGATTCTGTGCAGAGTTATTTTAAATTAAAGCCATAGAACGTAGTTTGCTTATCTTCATATTCTCTACCACTGCTGCCCACCTCATCCCAACACCACATAGGGTCACCTGTGGCAGGCCAGATTTTCAAGTCAGACACAGGGAAAATCAAATGCTATCTCCCTTGTTATGGATTTTCCTTTTTCTTAAAATTAATTGATTTTATTTAGTAGATAGTGAACTGATTATTTCAGTAAAGCTAACATACCCATCTCTTCACCGTTACCATTTGTGTGTGTGTGCATGTGTGTGTGTGTGTGCGTGTTGAGTGCAATAAGAACATTTAAGTTCTGCTCTCTTGGCAAACTTCATGTAAACAATACAGTATTATTAACCATAGCCACCACGCTGTACAGTAGATGTCCAAAACTTCTTCATCCTACATAACTGAAACTTTGTATGCTTTGACAATACCATCCAATTCTCTTCCCATTCCTACCCATGATAACCACTTTCTGTGCTCTGATCCTGTGAATGCAACTTTTTAATATTCTCTATATAACTGAGGTCATGTCATTTTTTAAACAGAAAACAAAAAAAACTTTCCATTGATTATTCCAGAGAGGATACGAACATTCCTGGCAACTATCTGGTAGAAAGAGTATTCTTCTGGAAGAACAATGTATGAGCCAGCCTTTTTGTATTAACAAAGGCTCTTAGTTTAAAGAAGCTGAGCTAATTCTAACCAGTTGAGCCCAAAAGAAGTTTATTGAAAGAATATTGTGCAGCTCACGGTATTGCTGGGTGGATGGAGAATCAGGTTTGAAGCTTCCAGAAACAGTGCCCAAAAACATGCTCAAAACCAACCTGGGCTGGTGCCACGGCTCAATAGGCTAATCCTCTGCCTGCTGCGCCGGCGCTCCAGGTTCTAGTCCCGGTCAGGGCGCCGGATTCTGTCCTGGTCACTCCTCTTCCTGTGCAGCTCTCTGCTGTGGACCGGGAGTGCAGTGGAGGATGGCCCAAGTGCTTGGGCCCTGCACCTGCATGGGAGACCAGGAAAAAGCACTTGGCTCCTGGCTTCGGATCAGCGCCAGCTGCAGCAGCCATTGGGGGTTGAACCAATGGAAGGAAGACCTTTCTCTCTGTCTCTCTCTCTCTCTCACTGTCCACTTTGCCTGTCAAAAAAACAAAAACAAAAACAAACAAAAAAAACGACCTGAGTAAGAAAATACCATGAAAAGGTGCAACAGACAGTGGGGCTCTTGCATGCATGGGTGTGAAGAGGTAAGTACAGCCAACCACCACTTCCCTCTTCTGCTCCATCTGAACTCTGCACCTGCTGCTGCTTTCCAAACCTGGATGCCTGGAGCACCACCTCAAAGGCCTCCCTGAAGTTGTAAGACAGGTCCCACACAAGTGTAGCCACTAGTGGGGCATGATCGCATGCCTGCGCCCGGGTACAAAGTGGCTGGGAAGTTTTGAGTTTTCTGCCTGGTGTAGAAGAGATGATGGGAAGTGTGTTCAAAAGGCACGAGGCAGCCCCTACTGAAAGTAAAAAACTATGAATATGTTCTCCCTAAGAACTGTAAGGTCAAGGAGCAGATAAAATCCTATCCAGAATAGTTAGAATAAGCAATTATTTTAAAACATCACTTACTCCCGGTGTGGAGAAAGTAGAAGGAACTGGTAAGGGTTTAGATTCGGCCACCACTGCGCAATAAACTTAGAAAGCATCATCAGAGGACTTCTTCCTCTAGAAACAGACTGAGCCTGGATAAGGAAAAGCAGAGTTCAGCAAGAACTGATAGTGGCTGAAATGTTTAAGGACCAAGCCATACCTTCTACTTAAATGTTTGAATTATTGTTCTTGTATTAATTCTTCTACACTCAGATAGTAAAAGTTAAGTATGTTGTCTCATAAAGTATCAAGTTGAAACAAAGCTCAAAAAATAAAAATAAATGAAAGTGCATTTATGTTGGAAAAGCAGAAGCTACAAATCAAATGTTAAAGCCTTTATTTGTATTTTCACATTTCATTGACTGACCCTTCGATACTCAACCAAACACCACCAGGCAAACAGACATATACCTGGAAGGAAATGTCCAAAGGGCTGGAGCTGCTGACTCTGACCTACTGGAGGTGACAAATAGGAAGGAAATCATGTGCATTGCCTTGAAACAAAACTTGGAATAAGCTATCAGAGTAAAAGCCTAGTTTCATCTGAGAAATTGTTTTTCCCCCAAAATGACCTCAAAAGAGCCAATTTCTAAGTATCACAGGTTGTCATAATTTTTTAAAAAGAACACTTTTATGAAAATCTATATTCAGAAAATGATCAGGAAATACCATTCATGACAGTTAAAGTCAAGAGCTAATCCCATATCAAAGAAATCCGTAATATATATATGTAATTTTCCGCTAGCATTAGTCCTTGAATTTTTCAATTATGTGATGCATGTTAGAAAAAAAGTGCTCATTAAATACACTAAATTTGATGGAGAGGCAAAATTTTAAATCTGTATTTCAAATATTCCTTGTACATTATTTGATTATGTGAACTGATTTGGTTATAAAAATGCTATTTAGCAGAAATTTTCTTCCTTTAAGTGGTTAAGGGCAATATATAAATTACACTTCTTAAGAGATTTATAATCTAATAAGTGCACCACAGGAAAAAAAAAGGAAAGTATAGTGAATTTTACTGACTTGTCCAAAGCAGAAAATGAAAATCATAGCTGGATTAGAAGAATCTATCCTGAAATAAATTTTCCAGATCATCTTATCCATGGTTGACAAATACATAGGGTACAAATAGACACTTTCGCAGTTTCTATCCAAGGCAGACAAGTAATCAATCTCAGTAATTTCTAACTGAGCTGAAACATACATAGTCTCAGAACTCTTTTTTTTTTTAAAGATTAATTTATTTATTTGAAAGTCAGAGTTACACACAGAGAGAAGGAGAGGCAGAGAGAGAGAGAGAGAGAGAGGTCTTCTATCTGTTGGTTCACTCCCCAGTTGGTTGCAATGGCCGGAGCTGTGCCAATCCCAAGCCAGGAGTTTCTTCTGGGTCTCCCACACGGGTGCAGGGGCCCAAGGACTTGGGCCATCCTCTAATGCTTTCCCAGGCCCTAGCAGAGAACTGGATGGGAAGTGGAACAGCCAGGTCTCAAACTGGCACCCATATGGGATGCTGGCACTGCAGGCAGTGGCTTTATCAGCTACGCCACAGCACCGGCCCCTCAGAATTCTTAAAACAGACTGGAACTTTTAGAAGAGAGAGTCCAGTGGTGGTTACAGAGGCTGTGGGGAGGGATAGACAATGAGAGGGGAGAAGCTGATCAATGGGAACAAAGTCTCAGATGGGAGGAATAAATTCTGGGATTCTAATGCACATCACGGTTGCTATAGTTAACAATAATGTATTGTATTTCAAAGCAGCTAAATGATGATTTTAAATGTTCTCCTCACAAAGAAATGATAAATATTTGAGGTGATGGGTATGCTATTTACCTGCCTGGATCACCCCACAAGGTAGACATTTAGTGGATGCATCCTGAGCAGCTCAGCCCTCTCGGCAGCATTTTCAGTTGTTTGTTCTGGTATTTAATCCTGCATTTTAAATAATGTGCTCATACTTATATTTATCCATTTATCCATTATGTATTAATGGTTGACAGACATCTGGACTCTTCTACACACCCCTTCCCTCCCTTGCCACTCTTCTCATTTTAAAGTTCATGGGTTAATCCCATAATGAGTGTTTTCATCGTTACAACTACGAAAATATTCTTGATTATATTGCTAGATCTTCCAGTAAAGTAGTGCTCTGCAAGTTAATTTTCTTCCTTGTAAAACCTCTTTTGTTTTAGAGTGAGCAGTTTCCTCATTCTCATTTACTTGGTTTTCTTTGCCGCTTACTTGGTTTTCTTTGCCGCTGCAGCCCAGTTTTCCCACTCGGGCAGCTCTGAGAAAGGCCTCTCAGTACAAATTTCCACGTAGGAGTAGCCCCATCCGTTTCCTTTTGCCAGAGACCTCCCTCCTGCACCTGCTCTGGTTCCCAGGGCTGCTCCCTGGGTCTCCGCACAGCAGGTTTCCTGGTGTGATCCCCTGCATCTCTGCAGTGCTAGATTCCCTCTCCCCGGGACTCCATGTCTGTCTGCCTTTTTTTTTTTTTTTTCCCTTCTCCCTTATTTTGGTGTAGCAGTCTTCAAGAATTCCCCGGGACAGAATCCATGGAAGGTAACTTTTTCTGAGACTGTCCCTGTCTGAAATTACCTTTATTCAACTCTCACACTTTGATTGATAGTTTTCACAGGGTATCAAATTTAAGCTAAAATGTTATTTTTACTGAGAACATGGAGTCATTACTCATTGTCTCCAACTTCCAGGGGTGTTATTGGAAAGCTCATTCCTGATCTCTTGTGAGTGACCCTTTTCTCTACTTTTGACTTTTATATTACTTTTGTTTTCTGTATTCTACAGTTTCACAACGATGTGCTATCGTTTTGACACTTGAAAGGTCTCTGTTGTTCAGTCATAGGAAAAATTGTGTATAAAGATAATTCATACCTACGTTTGTTCTTTCCTTCCATAATGCTTACCGGTGAGATACAGGGTTGATTCTTTACTGTTCTCATCTTCTCTCTTTTGTTTTTCAACTCTGTTTCATTTCTGCTTTTCAGAAGAGTTTTGTCAGCTGATCTCTAGACATTTTTAACAATTTAAAAAAATTTCTGTTTAATTGATGGGAATTTTTATTCTTTTTATATCATCCTAGTCTGTTTCATGGATATGATAGCACCAAGAATACTGTAGTTTGATTTTAAGAAATTTTCCTCTTTTCTTGCAATGCCTCTGTTTCTTCCAAGCTCTTTAGCTTTGCTGTTTATTTTGGACTCCATCTCCTACTGCAGGCTTTCTTAAACCACCAGTTGCTGCTAACCATCAAATTCTATTTAAGAACGAAACACTAGATGCCTGATTAGGAGTTGGTGGTGGGTAGCAACTGGGCGACACTACCCTTGTCAGGTACTCCCTTGCATCTCTAGCTCCAGGTCCCTCGTCTGGGTGATTCAGTGTCCCAGAGAAGAGTATTGCAGCTTTACCTGCGGATGCAGGACTGGCTGCTCTATGAGCTTGGGTGGGAAAGAGGATTGAGGAGTGGATTTTCATGTCATCCCTTGTTCTCCCTGTCTTTAGCCCATCCCCTGCTCTGTGCTAATTGACCTCCGTTTCAGTGGCTACAGGACTCAGCCTCTGTAGGAGCTAAGTCTCCTATCTCCTGTTGAGGGTGGGAGAATGGGCATCCAACTGCATCAACTGGGAGAAGGAATTCTGGGCCCTATAGCTCTTATGTGGATTTTTAACCGATTGCTACCGGAGGATGATTTTTGAGTGAAGAAGGGAGAAAAAGTTGTAGCTTGGTTATGTTGACAAGGGAGAACTTGCCGGCAAGTTGTTGAGCATCCTGTGCTCAAGCAAGGTGGCTTAAACAACAGAATTGTCTGGCCGTGCCATGCTGGAGGCTAAGCTGATATCAAGATGTCTGTCTTGGGCTGTGAGGGAGAACCTGGCCCATGCCCGTGCCCATGCCCAGCATCTGGTGATTGCTGGCTATCTTTGTCTTCTCTGGCATCTGTCGCATCATTCAGATCCTTGCATTCATCTTCACATGGTGTTCCCCCTGTGTGCATTCCTGAGTCCAAATTGTCCTCTTAAATTTTTTTCTCGGATTAAGGTCCTAAACTTAAGACTTGAAACCATCAAACTACATAGGGGAAACACTGCAAGACATTGGCCTAGGCAAAGACTTCTTAGACAATACCCCCACAGCACAGGCAATGAAAGCAAAAGCAGACAAATGAGAGTACATCAAGCTAAGAAGCTTCTGCATAGAAGAGGAAACAATTCACAAAGTGAGGAGACAACCAGCAGAATGGGAGAAAATATCTGCACACTATGCATCTGATAAAGGATTAATATCCAGAATATCTAAGAAGTCCAAGAAACTCAACAATAACAACAAAACCAATCCAGTTAAGAAATGGATAAAAGATATGAATAGGCATTTTTCAAAGGAAGACATCGAAATGGCCAATAAACACATGAAAAAAATGCTCATGATCACTAGCCATCAGGGAAATGCAAATAAAAACAATGATGC